ATATAATAGATAGAAAATAATGGGATCTCGTTGTCTATGTTGAAAACAATGCCAATTTTCCTACCAATAATTTAGTGATGCAAAACAGTTAACTTTTCTTTTCCTCCTGTTTATGGGTCAACTTAACCCATTACGCCAAAAAAATGTTAAAAGCATCGTGGTGGAGAATCTAGAACTGAATGCAGTAGTATTGGTCAATTCATAATAAGTGTAATAGTTTTATATGTATATATTTAAATTCTTTTATATGTATATAAATAATTTGAACAAAAAATGATTAATCGTTCTAAATCTACCTCGGCTGGGGATGAAGTACTCGTGTTTTATATGTGATCGTAATTATACTTCTAAACTAAATTATCAACGTCGAAAACTCAGATGCCTTCATATTTTACTTCCCCGGATTAGCCGATGATTACCGGAACAGAACGATAAAAGATGAAGATTACAAAGATTAGAGATCTCAGATTCCATATATGGACGCCCATTTAATTTACATCCACAAATATTTCACAAAAGGAAATATTAGAAATCGCCAAAAAAAAAAAATTCAACAAAATTGTTTGATGGGATTCACTCTCTTCATCTTCTTCGTGATTCCCATCATATCTTTGCACAAGATCTTTTTTACTCAAAACATCATAGAACTGTGTCAAAATTCCTCCTTATTTTTCTCCATATTCGGAAAGTACTTCCAACATCAGAAACCATTCTCTTTCTTTCTTTTTATTTATTTTTTTTGACTTGTAGCCTCCTCAATAAATCCCAGGATTGAAAATTTCACGCCACTGCAACTGTGCCATTTCTCACAGCTTTATTTGCATCAGTTTCTTTGGTTGGGGTTTCTGTTTTTGTTCTTGAGGATCTCTTTGATGCAGAAAGTTTCCATTTTCTTTCATTAGCTTCATCCATTTCTATCTGCTCTTGTCTGCATTCTTGGCTACAAAATGGTGTATCCCCTCTGTAATCAAACAAAAATTCACTCACATCAGATCCAGTGAAAGTTAAGAACTAAAAAGAGAATTAGGGGTCAATATCTTTCGTGATTTACAACAATTACGCATCAATCACAAACAAGTTAGATCAGCTATACATATTCTCACTATTTATGTGGATTGTAAGGTCTCGTCATAAATTGACTAGTAATTTTATACTCCATTGATCATACAAGAGCCGGATCCATGATTTATACTGTTCAATCACTGAATCGAATGTATTTTTGTATTTATATATGAGTTCAACTTTTCATATTTGTTGAAAATCTAAGTGAAAGATATATGTAAAATGCTAACCTGTACATGAAGATGTCACTGTTGTGAGCCAAGGGTCTCTGGCAAAGAGTGCAAGCATCAAGAAAATGAGGTTGGTAGTGGTGATCTTCACACCCAGTGTAATATAGTGCAGCTGACTTCATTCTTCTGTATAATGAAGAAGAAATTTAAAAACCTTTTTTCCTGTAAAAACTGGAGCTTCCTGATATGAAATTGGTATTAATGATAAGTGCAGAGAACAGGAGAAGAAGAATAAAGTAGATTCTGGGAGGAGGCTGAGAAGGGCCAAACTCTCTTATATAATGATAGTTGGCCGAGAGGAAGAAATAAAAAATGATTAATTAAATAATTAATTAAGTCTATAGACCATTTATCAAATAATTAAAGGACTGCCAAGTCACCAAATTCTACCAACACCAAGAATAATGTAGTTTGCAGGGAGGTGAGTGTGTACAGAAGCTAAAGTTGTTTCTATGTGATTGAGTAGCGGATTTATAATATAATTGTCGAGTTCAATTGAATCCAATATTTTCGATGTAGAGTATAAATTTATCTGTAAAAAATCACTAAAATTATAATAAATAGTAAATACGAATCCATAAATTTATATGTTTAGCCCACAAAACTAAAATTCTAAATTCGCATCTGGCGTGACCCATATATCATGGCTTTGAACAGTAAAATTAGTCACTAATATTTGCGTCAAGGTAGAATGTCTATATTATACTGAACAGTAAAATTAGTCACTAATATTTGCGCCAAGATAGAATATCTATATTATACCACTTAGAAGTGTGACCCTTATTCGAACTTGCATAAACATGGATGCTTCGTATGCTTCGTACACCGATTCCTCTTTTTTAGTTAGGCGCTGTATGGACCACTAGGTAAAATTTTAGTACTAGTTGTAGTAATTCTGGGACTTCAGGGAGCAGACATGAATATAGGAAATAGTTAGATAGGAAAAAGAGAAAAGGAAAACCACTAGCTGTTTCTCAGAATCCAAGGGGTGGAATAGTGGCAGTATTACAAACTATATTGCATTGGCCAACTTGGACATGACAAGCAAGCAAGAGTACTTTTTGTAAAATTGTGCTTTTTGAGTGCACTAACTTCTTTATTAGCAATTTGCTCCCTCATATTTGAGGGAGTACTTGACAAGTGCATGAACTTTGAATATTTTAGTATTAAATTGTGGTGCATATATTTCTTTTCAGATTTGCTTTATGTTGCAAATCTAGTATTACAATGTACAATTCTAGAGTAATTTTTACCTTTTCTGTAAAGGAATGCTTTTTCTTCCTAAAGTACAAAAATAGCCGTACTAACCCTATAGTACAAAAAATAGCCGTACTAAAAAGAATTTTAGTCTCAAGCTTCTTATGACTCATTTCAATTTAGTTTTACCACTATTCTTTTTCCTTCTTTTTTTATCTTGGCATGGAGATTTTGTGATACAAATGATTTCGTTCTTCTATCTCAGTACTTAAAATTATTCTAACATAAAAAGAATTAAAATTTTATTATTGATCAATTATTACTGTAATATTGTGAAACTTCAGATTGCGGATATGTAAAGTTTTATGTAAAAATGACATTGTATAGACGCGGTAAAAATAATAGCCGAAAAAATATATAAAATATGTAT